GCATGTTTTGGACACTCGGGTGAAGAGAGGGGCAGAGCTGTCAACTGACCACTACCTGGTGGTGAGTTGGCTCCGTTGGTGGGGGAAGATGCCGGTCAGACCTAGCAAACCCAAACATATAGTTAGGGTCTGCTGGGAACGTCTGTCAGAGTCTCCCGTCAGACGGAGCTTCAACTCACACCTCCGAAGGAACTTCGAACACGTTCCAGGAGAGGTGGGGGACATTGAGTCCGAGTGGGCCATGTTCCATGCCTCCATTGTCGAGGCGGCTTACCTGAGCTGTGGCCGTAAGTTTGTCGTGCCTGTCGTGGCGGCAATCCTCGCACCCACTGGTGGACACCGGCGGTGAGGGATGCTGTCAGGCTGAAGAAGGAGTCCTATCGGGTCTTTTTGGCCTGTGAGACTCCGGGAGCAGCCGATAGGTATCGGCAGTCCAAGCGGATTGCGGCTCGGGTGGTCGCTGAGGCAAAAACAGGCATGGGAAGACTTCGGAGAGGCCATGGAAAACTACTTCCATACATCTTCGAGGCAATTCTGGTCCACCATCCGATGTCTCAGGTGGGGAAAGCGGTTCGCCGCCACCAACACTATTTGTGGTGCGGATGGTGCGCTGCTGACCTCAACTCGGGACATTGTGGGTCAGTGGGTGGAATACTTTGAGGACCTCCTCAATCCTACCGACATGTCTTCCCATGAGGAAGCAGAGCCTGAAGACCCTGGGTCCGACTCTCCAATCTCTGGTGCTGAGGTCACCAAGGTGGTTAAAAAGCTCCTCGGTGGCAGGGCGCCGGGGGTGGATGAGATTCGCCCGGAGTTCCTTAGGGCTCTGGATGTTGTGGGGTTGCATTGGTTGACGCGAATCTAGAATATCACGTGGACATCGGGGGCAGTTCCCTTAGATTTGCAGACCTGGGCGGTGGTCCCCCTATTTAAAAAGGGGGACCACAGAGTGTGTTCCAACTATAGGGGGATCACACTCTGAGCCTCCCTGGGAAGGTCTATTCGGGGGTTCTGGAGAGGAGGGTCCATCGGATAGTCAAATCTCGGATTCAGGAAGAGCAGTGTGGTTTTCATCTTAGTCGCGGAACAGTGGACCAGCTCTACACCCTCAGCAGGGTCCGGGAGGGTGCATGGGAGTTCGCCCAACCAGTCCACATGTGTTTTGTGGACTTGGAGAAGGCGTTCGACCGTGTCCCTTGGGGACTCCTATGGGGCGTACTCCAGGAGTATGGGGTACCAGGCCCATTGATACAGGCTATTAGGTCCCTGTATGACTGGTGCCAGAGCTTGATCTGCATTGCCGATAGTAAGTCGGATTCGTTTCCGGTGAGAGTTGGACTCCGCCAAGGATGCCCTTTGTCAACGATTCTGTTCATAACATTTATGATAGAATTTCTAGGTGCAGTCAAGGTGTGGAGGGGATCCTTTTTGGTGACCTTAGGATCACATCTCTGCTTTTTGCGGATGATGTGGTCCTATTGGCTTCATCAGATCGTGATCTCCAGCTCTCATTGGAGCGGTTCACAGCCAAGTGTGAAGCGGCCGGGATGAGGATCAGTGCCTCCAAATCCGAGACCATGGTCTTGAGCAAGAAACCAGTAGTGTGCCGCCTCCAGGTCGGGGAGGAGGTCCTGCCCCAATTGGAGGAGTTTAAGTATTTCGGGGTCTTGTTCATGAATGAGGGAAGAA